AGTGGATTTGAAGAATTTTATCGGCAATATTCCACTGTGTGTGAATAAGGAAGCAGACCGAAACCTGCTATTACTCCTCATTTCCCGAATCCAAAGTGAAAGCAGTCGGAGAGGAAATTAGAATCCCACATAAGTGACTTAATAAGCCTAGAAGAATAATTCAATTCTTTTTCACCCATTAGTCATTTTCACTTTATCAAATGATAGCTATTGGTAGTGTGAAACCAGAACAGTGTGTTCACTTTTTTCCCCACTGATAACAGTATGGAACCTTGAAATTGGAAGTGTTAGGTACTAGCCAAGTAGTTTAAGAGTGGTCAAACCTGGTTAAACATTGCCTAAATAATTGTCTGCAGGGTGCTCAGGGGATGCTCCTTTAAACTCTGGTGAATATATATTTTTAATTTAAGAAACCACAGCTGGCTTACGTGCGCTGTAATGATAGTAATATTATTCTCCCAAGAGATAACAGCATTCCTATAGAGTCTAAGCAGAAATGACACATTTATAGCATATATTTACAGGCTTCCAGACACAGTAGTTCCCCATCAGCGCAGTCGGAACTATGAACAGAGCTGGAGAAGTGAGAACACTCCATCCCCTACCCCCTCCTCCCCCCAAAAAAACTCATCTTACCTTGTCAGGAAGACAGTGCCTTTAGCTTCAGTAAATTTTAGGGCTGTAATTTAAAAAGAAAAAATAGAAAGGAAAAAAAAGAGAAGGGGAAAAACAGTCAGGCAACTTGCATTCAAAATGTTTAGGGCTCCAGTAGGGCACACTGCTTTTCAATCTTTGCAGACATGTGTGCGTGTGTGATCCGGCACGCACAGAGTTGTTTCCGGCTCTGTGACCCTGTGGACTGTAGCCGCCAGGCTCCTCTGTCCATGGGATTCTCCAGGCAAGGATACTGGAGCGGCTTGCCATCTCCTCCTCCAGGGGATCTTCCTGACGCAGGGATCGAACCCCCATCTCCTGTGACCACTGCAACTCCTGCGTTGGCCAGTGAATTCTTTACCACTTCAGCCACCTGGAAAGCAAAGATTTCTGCTGAAACACTGTGCAATCTTCCCTTAATGCCTGGTGAGAGCTCCCACTCTTGCTCGTCTCTCTCTCCTGTCTTTCTGCAGCACAGAGCCTTCCCCCTCTGACCCTGCGCAGTGTGTTAGAGGAAGGGGCCGTGTTCTTTCACGAGGAGCAGGAGGTGGATCTTGGAAGGGGGTGCGCGCTCCCTGCTGCCCTTGTGATCATGCACCCTCTCGCTAATGGGTTGAGATACATTTTGGCTGTGGGTCGCGTCGGTGTCGTTGCCATCGCTATTGGCATTTGACCCGTTTAAGCATGGAAAATATTTTCCCCCAAGGTCTCCAAAAATAATGTTAGAGAATTGTTTTTCTGCTGGTGATGCGGCCATTTGGATTCCTGCATGAGCTGCACTGAGACTCTAAGTGCAGAAAGGGAGGCGTTGATGGGCTGAGACCTTTGGTCTCTTCCTGCTCTCCAGCTTTGGGAGTTCATCAAAATCAAGTCAATTTCAGGAAGGTCTTTGCCCAGAGAGGCACGTCTGTCGACGCTGCTCCCGGGGCCCTGAAACCCTCACCAGGCCAGGGAGGTGACGCATTAGCTGTTGCTGTTTCCTTCTAAAATCAGTCGGCTTTTATTTTTGTCCGTGTGTTTCTGGTTCCTGTTTTGTATCTAGGCTATAAATTAAGAGTTGATGTTACCAAACAGAATTTTCTACACTACCTTTCCATTGAAATACGTGTGTGTGATTTTCACTTTGATGGTGGTCATTGCTGAAACCTAGTTGCTTTGTGCTTTATTGTCAGAATAGAGTGAGCCAAACCATATTCTTAATAAAATGCAGTTTTACTTGTACTGTGAGGGCGGTTAGGACGTCCGTTTCTAATGCGTTACTGCAGACGATGGTATTACTGGACTCCGTCACCCCTCCCTCTCTCTTCACCTGGCCAACTCGACTTCTCCCGAAGGTCTTGGTGCTCCTGCCACTTCCTCAGTGATCCTTCCAGAACCTCTCCCTTCCCCCAGGCCTGGCTTCCATTGCTCAGCGCTCCCGCACCCTTTTACTTTCTCCGCAGACTAGCTTTTGGAGTCTTTCTTGCTGACCAGTCTTTTTATTCCTCAGGGTAAGGAGTGTCTTTGTCCTGTTGCAGTTGGAACCCTAACGCCCAGCAGCAGCGGAGTGTCTGTGGGAGGGATGACTGTCAGTCACACCCTGATCCAGGTCTATTATCATTCATCCACAGACAATTCCACGCTGACAGGCTCCAACTTCCCAGTCAGACTGTCTCCCGGTGCCGCTGTACCTAACACCTTTTATTCACAGAGGAATGACTCAGCAGAAATATAATGTAGACCAGAAAGAGGAATTTAAAAGTTAAGAGACCCCTGGCTTGGTGCAATGATTCATTTGGACCTTGCTGAGGGTTTGCAGGGTTTATAGAATTGCTTAAGACTTTCCTCGTTTGTAAAGAGCTCAGAGGTCTTCCCTGGTGGTGCAGTGATAAAGAATCTGCCTGCCAATGCAGGAGACACGAGTTCGAGCGCCTGGTTGGGAAGATGCCCTGGAGAAGGAAATGGCAACCCACTCCAGTATTCTTGCTGGAGAATTGCGTAGACAGAGGAACCTGGTGGGCTCTAAGTCTGTAGGGTCGTGAAGCGCTGGACATGGCTGAGCACCATGCCACACAAACAGCTCAGAGCCTGGCTCAGAGGAAAGGGAGCAAAAATCATTTAAAACATTGAAACAAGTGGAGTTAGAGAGATGTTCTAAGATGACCATGGCAGCGTCTTCCTTAGGCATGGAAGGTTCCAGAATTGTCCTAAAGAGTTGGCCCTGAAGTAAGGAAAAACCATACAGTTACAACCGCATTTTGGGAACTATGACCCATGAGGCAAATCTGGACCCATTACCTGTATTCCTGTGGCCTGGGAGCTAAAAAAAAAAATTTTTTTTCCTGTATATAAATGGAACAGAAAAAAAAGAAAATAATATTTCATGACATATATAAACTATATGATATTTAAACTCAGCAGCCACAGAGTTTTATTGGGATGTAGCCATGTCCATTCATTTGTGTTCAATGGCAGGGCAGTTATGACAGAAATTGTATAGTTCAAAAGCTAAAATTATTCACTATTTGTCCCTTGACAGAGGGAAAAAAAAAAGCTTTCTGGCCCCTAAGTTAGCAGAAACAGCATCTGCAAAGCTCTCTCAGCAATCTATTCAGTNGGGGTGGGGTGGGGTGGGGGGCTGGGTAGAGGGGTGTGCATGTGTGGAAGGGGCCAAGAAATATCAGGAAATGAGGCTGTGTAGATGTTGAAAACCGGGATGAAGACTGGGCCTCTTCTGATGTTGGTGGAAATCTCGTGGAGAGGTTTAAACAAGAGAGTAACCAGCTCAGACTTGTGTATTTTGGAACTGGTCTATCAGTAATATGTGTCTGTGTGGGGTGGCCTGGTGGGTAGAGACCGTGAGATTTCACTTGATCATTAATCTTATCATCGTCATTAAACGTATCCCCTTTTTTAATGTCTCCACCCAAACTATTTTCAACCTATATAACACTTGCTTCCCCCCGCCCACCATGCTTTCAAGAAATCCCTTTGAAACCATTATCCCAGTCATGAAATTTAATTTACTTGTGTTGGGAGAACCTACAGACATATCTAGGGACTTTGAGTGTTTTCAATGGGGAAAACACTACACTTAAGTTACCATACAGTTGTGATTCACAACGTTTTTGTTTGTTTCTAGAGCAATTTGCCAAGAGTGTCCTTGGCCCCTTGTCCTGGAAAAATTGTCTCGCCATCTTCCCTCAAGGATTCTTTGGACTTCAAAGAAGACTATGAGTAGCTGGCAGGAGGAATAGGCCCCAGATGGAAATGTTATCAGCACCCATGTGTGCATACCTCTGGAAATATTCACATTTTAAAATTGCAGAGTTAGCATGCTCTGGTCACCTGTAGGGGCCCTCTTTGAGGTATATAGTTTAGCTATTAATTCTGTACTTCAAAGAACATGCAGTTCACGAATGCAGCTGCAGGGCATTTAAAATATTATTCCCACCACTGTGGTCACCTCTAGTTTTGTCTTTTAAATAACAAAAATAAAATGTAAAACTGTAGTTGTAAGTAGCTAGGGCAGTAGAATTTCTAGAACAGAAAGCCATCTAAGTTGCCTTTCTTTTACAGACAGCCTTCCTCTGGCTTCTAAATGATATTTGTAAGGTTTGACTTTGCTGTCATTTGGGGAAGTGTTCATTTTTATGAGGAAAAGATGATATCTAACTATCAGTATCTTTGATGGATAGAAAACGTGGAAGAAGGTATACTATAGTTTCACCTTAACATGTGAGTTTCACTGGTGGGAAGAAATGAAAGGTAAAGCTTTTAAATATCCTTTGTGTTGTTTTTGCTAATAATTTTCTCTCCATTTATATTTCGCTTGTTCCCAAAATGACAGTTATTAAAGACAGAGCAACAATTTGAAAAATATTGAAAATTATATTTAAGAAAAGTCATATATGTTATTAAAGTTATATGAAAACATTCTGTAAGTTATGTGAGCTTCACAGTGAGCCTGAAGCACATGGACTGAGGGTTGTGGAAGGAATGGATTCCTAGAGAGAAAAAAAAAAAATCCAATGCAGTTAGTGGAAGATTCGCTGGATATTCATTAGAGCACAGACTCAGTTGACTTGGCAACTTCTGGTTCAGGTAGCAAAGAATGAAGCTGAATGCAAAGGGTGAGGTTGATGGAATCAAGACGTTTTCCTTACAGAAAGTTAGTACTTGGTGTTTCATTGGCTGGCTTTCTGCTCACTGAGTGGGACTCAGAAGAAAACAGCGGGGGGTGGTGAGAAGACCGTGAGATAAAGGCAGTGGGTGGTTGTGGCTGCTGGTTTGGAGGAAGGCGGAGGGAGCTGCGCGCTCATGTGCGTCAACATCCGGTTTGACGCTCCACTGCCGCCATCTTGAAATTCTTCACAAGCTTTGAACAAGAGGTTCTGCGTTTCCACTTTGCACTCGGCCCTGTAAATTATGCAGCAGGTTTCCATGAAGGGCTACAGCTTTATTTGGAGCTGGAAGAGCAGAGGTCAGCCTCAGGAAGGAGACCTGAATGAGGGTCACTGTCGTCGCAACCTCATGCGGGAGCATTGACTGCCAACGGAAAGAGCTTAAGAGGGTTTCGCCATTGCAGCCGGGCATCTTCAGTAACAGCCAGGGGAGAAATGTTGATCTCAGTGAGGGGACTGTAAGGTGAGAACTTCATGGGGGGAGGTTTCCTCAAAGGACTCACAAATGCCTTCAAGGCAAACACGCTTTGACGATGCCCCAGTCCAGTAAGCCCCAGAGGCAGCTCGGTGGAGACAAGGGTGGAGCAAGAAGAGAAGAGCCTGCTGAAACGCAGAAGCCAACCCCTTCTTGTGTCTAATGGGATCCTGCCCTTCGTGCTCAGCAAAGAAGGTCGTGGGTCTGTTCTCATAAAGCACAGTAGCAGTTTTACAGACGTTAGCTTTCTGGGTCTTATTTTTGAAACAATAAACATTGAAGTTAAAAAGCGCTCGAATATAAAATTTTATTAACACCATAAAAAGCTTAATATTAGAAACAAACTTTATGAAGATAGAGCCTTCCAGAAATGCCCTGTAGGGTGGTCAGTGGCATTTGGTAGGGAAGGAAAACCACCATGCTTGAGACTCCAGTGAGAGCAGATCTCTGCCTTTGGTGATAATTGAATCTCAGTTGTGGTAGCTTATTCTAGGAGGGTCATACCTGTGTAGTTACAGAGAGGAAATTAAACGTACTAACCAGAGAGTCACTCAGAGTACATTAAGGTCATGACAGAAACTAATAAGGGAATTCCCAGTTTAAGCTTCTCTCCCTTCCATAGGCTCGGAGGAACATCTGAGGGAAGAGGTTCAGAAGACACCCCGGTGTGAGCTGGTGATGGAAGTCAGCCTTAGCTCTCTATTTCCTTGTTTTCATTAGCTTGGGTTACACACCGAGACTTTTTTGAATGCCCTTTTTGGTAAGTGCGCTTCCTTTGTTTTTCTTACAAGTTCCCTGGTAAGAGAACTTCTGTAATCTGTAATCACCTATTTTATTTCTATTTTATGTGATTTCACAGTGAAAGACAAACTTATCCATTATCTCATAATTACCTATCTTGTCCGGTTGAACAATACTTTCTTTGTGTCACAAAACCTTCTTCTAAGAATTTGGTAAAACTGGTTGTGCAGGTTCCCCACTGAGCAGAAACCAAAAGGGAGCTCACAGATGGAATCTCAAGTATTTATTTTCATATATGAGTAGGTAAACACTACATATGCAACCAGAAAACCTTTTTTTTTTTTTTAACATTCACAGGGAGCATGAAATTGATGCCTGAGAATAAAACATAAGTACCTCGGGTATTTCAGTCAAGACAGAGAAATGCAAAGTTGAGACTCTCAGGACAGACTCTGGGAGACCCACGTTACTGCACCTTTATTGTCACCTGCATTTTCACGGCAACCTTGGGATCTGCCTGTGGCCAGCAGAGCTTGAGGTTTTGACTCTATTTCACTAAAGTGAAAATTCAAATGACTCCTTCAAAAATGAGTGTGTGGATATCATTCAATTCATTTATTGAGTAAATACTGAAATGACATAGTTTACTTTTTTAATGACCCAAGTGAATATGCAATTTCATTCCATTTTGTGTTCACTGATGTCAGTGAAATTGAGAAATGCACCCCATGTTATAATAATAATCCATCTTTAAAATGATAGTTTTTATTTGTTAAAAAAAAGAACAGTTAGGTAGACGTTTAAAGTAAAATCCTTCAGCTTCTTTTAATGTAAAAGTAATATTTGATCACCATCCTGAAATGATGTAATTTACCCCCTAAGCCTCTTCCAAGTAAACAATCCCCCCAGGATATCAGTTTTCTGTAGCAACGCACTTAGGAAAAATAACATAGTTCATAAGCCAAGAATAAAATTCTAGCGCCCAAATATTTGCATAGGTAAACATTTTCAAATTCATGTTCTACATTCTAAACCTCTTGGTGTTTATAAAGGCTTTTGCCATTAGCCTTCAAGTTTTTGTTGGACAGATGTGTAAAACCAATAATTACAAGTAGGATGTAAAGAGAGAAAAACAAAGAGAATTTTACTCATTATTAGCACTTAAAATTATGCTTTGCTCTTGAGATGAAATGATTAAAATACCAAAGACCCTGGGCAAAAGTAATTTGAATTTGACCTGTTTTCAGATCCATATCTGGAATTTGTCAGGATCATTTCATGTGTCAGCAGGGGAGGAGCTGCCTGAGACCCAATATAAAGGATGCACCGTTCTGATGGGATGTGATAGCTGTTTTTTTCCATTTCAATTGAGGTAACCTTGAGTAAACTTATCTATATGAGACATTATGTCTAAGACATCATAGCAATTGCATTTGTGTGGCTTAAAACAGCAGTATTAGACACATCTAATTATATCCACCGCACTCAAAAAAACAAAACCCCAAAACAAACAGTCAACTCTGAATACTTATTTGAAGGAGTGGTGCTGAAGCTGAAGCTCCAGTGTTTTGGCCACCTGATGCAAACAGCTGACTCATTGGAAAAGACCCTGATGCTGGGAAAGATTGAAGGCAAAAGGAGAAGGGGGTGACAGAGGATGAGATGGTTAGATAGCATCACTGACTCAATTGCCATGAATTTGAGTAAATTCTGGGAGATAGTTAAGGACAGGAGATAGTCCATGGGGTCACAAAGAATCAGACATGACTCAGAGACTGAACAACCATACTCGAGGACCAAGTCCGTCTCTGGCTAGGAACTCAAGCCAAGCTCCAAACCATTGCAGGCTGAGACCACCCAGGCTCACCATCATTTCAAAGACTGAATCAACTGTTTTTCATGGTCCCAAAATGTGAAAGTGAAAGTGTTAGTCGTTCACTTGGGTCCAACTCTTTGCTACCCCATGAACTGTAGTCTGCCAGGCTCTTCTGTCCATGGAATTCTCCAGGCAAGAACACTGGAGTGGGTAGCCATTCCCTTCTCCAGGGGATCTCCCTAAGCTAAGGGACAAATCCATATTTCCTGCATTGCAGGCAGATTCTCTACCAGATGAGCCACCACGGTCCCAAAGAAAGAAACTATAGGTATACATACCCAGCTCTTTTGTCAAATGTTATTTTTTGATTATTTGTACTTACAGATCCTTAATTTATTGACCCCAGATGGAGACAGGTTTTAGTGCTTCTATCTGACCCAAGGAGATTTTTCAGAGAAATTGTACTCATAGGAGAGAAGAACCAAGCTAAACAGTACTCACGTTCTCAGAAGCTCTTCCACTGCACCTTCTCAGACATTTTCCCTTTGACAGAAAAAAAAAAAAGATGCTATTCTGTTTCTGTCATTCTTTAGTATATTGTGTGAGACATGGCCTATTCATTCTTTTAAAAAAAATTTTTATTGAAATATAGTTGATTTACAGGGGCTTCTCTGGTGGCTCAGATGGCAAAGAAACTGCCTGCAATGCCGGAGACGCAGGTTCCATCCTGAGTCAGGAAGATCCCCCAGAGAAGGGAATGGCAACCCACTCCAGTACTCTTGCCTGGAGAATTCCCTGGAGAGAGGAGCCTGGCAGGCTGCAGTCCATGGGGTCACAAAGAATCAGACACGACTGAGCCACTAACATATTTGATTTACAGTGTTTCAAGTATACAGCAGAGTGATTCAGTTCCATACACACACATACACACATATATATGAAAGTGAAAGTTGCTCAGTTGTGTTCAGGTCTTTGCGACCCCATGGACAATACAGTCCATGGGATTCTCCAAGCCAGAATACTAGAGTGGGTCTTCCCACCCCAGGATATCATCACAACCCAGGGATCAAACCCAGGTCTCCCATATTGCAAGCAGATTCTTTACCAGCTGAGCCGCAAGGGAAGCCATATATATAGACATGTATATTCTTTTTCAGATTCTTCTCCCTTATGGATTATTACATGATATTGAACATAGTTCTTCATGCTATGCAGTAGGTCCTTGCTGTTTATCTATTATATATATATATAATATCTGCTAATCCCAAACTCATTTATCCACCCCCCTCTTCCACTTTGCTAACCATTAGTTTGTTTTCTATGTCTGTGAGTCTATTTCTGTTTTGAAAATAGGTTCATTTGTCTCAATTTTTAGATTCCACACAGAAGCTATATCATATTTATCTTTCACTTCTATGATGGTTTGCTTCACTTATATGATAATCTCTAGGTCTATCCATGTTGCTGCAAATGGCCTTATTTCATTCTTTTTTATGGGATTTACTCATCTTCTAATCAAGTACTAACTGAGCACTTATTTTGTGCCAGATGTGTTGCTAGTGCTCAGAACCCAAAGAAAGATAATACACTCACTCTGAAAGAGCTTATTGTACATGTATATGTGCTGCTGCTGCTGCTAAGTCACTTCAGTCGTGTCTGACTTTGTGCGCCGCTATGGACCGCAGCCCACCAGGCTCCTCTGTCCATGGAATTCTCTAGGCAAGAATACTGGAGTGAGGGTGCCATGTCCTTCTCCGTATATGTGTTAATAAACTTCTTATTTTTGCACTATTATGCAGACTTTTAAGGGCTTCCCAGGTGGCACAGTGGTAAAGAATCTGCCTGCCAATGCAGGAGATGCGAGAGATGCAGGTTTGATCCCTGGGTCAGGAAGATCCCCTGGAGGAGGAAATGGCAATTCACTCCAGTATTCTTGCTTGGAGAATCCCATGGACAGAGGAGCCTGGCGGACTACAGTCCATGGGATCACAGAGTCGGACACAACTGAGCAATTTTCACTTCCACTTTACGCCTGATTGGTGGACGTTGCCAAACCAGTCCTCACTGTTGAGCATGGGGATTCCAGGGCTGCTAATGGCACAGTGGTAGTTCCTAAAAGTGGGTTTCAGTGTGAAAAAGCCATAACTGTTACCGATTGACGAGTCAAGACATGTCCAACAGAGGAAAAGACCTGCAGAAAAAGAGAGGTGTACAGAAACCCTGAACAATCACAGCAGTGTCTGAAAGGGAGGCAGTTGTATTTTAAGGAACTGAAATTGCATCAGTTCATCAGCAGAGACAGTTTAAGTTGGCACCCTCATTTTGTAATAGATCTCCTAAAAATCAGTCATCACCTACTGACACCTGTCAACCCTTTTGATTTTTTTTTTGAATTACAAGTAAGTCCGGTTACAAGTTTAGTTGGCATCTATTGATTTAGCATCTTGGAGAGTAAAAGGTTAGACTGGAGTTTTGGGGGACCAGTGCTGACAGGCAGATGCTTGGTTGTATGTTTTAAAGAAAGCCCTGCATTTCAGGAGATGCGTGTCGATCCCCTTTGAGAGTGGAGACCATACATGGCACATCTCCACATAACGCTGGCTTAATATTCTAACAGCTTTAGCTGGAACCCATTAGAATCTGTAACGTCCAGGACAATGGTATTGGAGGAGATGGTAATTGTCTCAGGAACCAAATACCTGCCTCCACTCTCCCCAATTTAGCTTTTTAGAAATGACCGTCGTGTCCCTCATTTTTATTGAGACATTTCGAAACTTGGTAATTAGAAGTAGAGCCTCCCCAAACATGATTTGAACCTTTAAAGTGATGCATGGTTGGTATAAATCTTATTTTACAAATTAAGAATCTGAGTTTCAGAGAGAGCCATAGTTTGTACATCACAGTGTGTCTCTAAAAGCCAGGTTTTCACCGTCATTCCATTAATGACAAGACAGACTTTATGCCATCAGCTACATGGCTAGGCGTTTTCAAACAGAGTTCTCCACTTCTGGGGATTTCTTGTGTTTTGAATCAACCACAGGAGCGGCATTAGACCGTGGTCCCAGCTGTCTTGGTAGTAGAAGGATGTGGGGTGTCTGTATTCGTAGGGTGATCATTCTTCGTGGTAGGACTGAGGCATCCTGAGTGGACTCATGGCCAGGCAAGCTGCAGCACATGAAGGGTAGGCCGGTCTGTTTATGTGGAGCTGCTGAGACAGAGGGGCAGCTCTGACCAGAGGCAGAACTTTGGAGGCCAGGCTTTTAGCTGTTTCTTTGCTGCTCCCACACATTTCTCAAGGACTTTGTCCTGAGTGTGTGATTTCTTGATGATAATTCCAGAACTGCTGTAAAATGCTTTCAGAGCCAGAGATCAAAGGATCCCCATCAGAACTGATATGATCCGGCTACATCTGAAGTTATAAACACTTTTCTTTTTGATACTGTTGTCCTTCCCTGATAGTGTAGGGACTTCATTTTTATCACAGTTGCCTTTGGATGATGTTTACTGTGGATTGATATATTAGTTATTAAGTTTTTACTGTCACATAAAAATTCCCATTTACTCAAGAGAGAGAGACTGTTTATAAATCAGAAGCGAATAAAATAATGGCTTTAGTAGATGCAATTTATTAATATTATGACTTTAATTAACTTGTTCATAATAATGAATATGTGAATTACCCATGCTTCTGCCTGACAGATGTATTAGTCAGTGTTTGCTCACCTTGAACATCTCAATGTATTAGACAGTAAGCCACATTCAGTGAACCCCAGTCTAGTCATGAAAAAATGAAGTTATACAAAACATAATTTTTAATTAAGTTTACTCATGATGTATAAGAGACAGTCATATTATGGCCTATTATATGGTTTGCAGTCTGACTTTTTCCTCCCAGCTCTATTGAACTGTATTTTAAATACAATACAATTCACTCATTTTAGGTACATGCTGGTAAAGAATCCGCTTGCAAGGCAGGAGACCCTGGTTCAATTCCTGGGTCGGAAGATCCCCTGGAGAAGGGATAGGCTGCCCACTCCAGGATTCTTGGCCTTCTCTGATGGCTCAGATGGTAAAGAATCCACCTGCAATGCGGGAGACCTGGGTTTGATCATTTGGTTGGGAAGCTCCCCTGGAGGAGGGCTTGGCAACCTACTCCAGTATTCCTGCCTGGAGAATCCCATGGACAGAGGAGCCTGGTGGGCCATGGAGTCACAAAGTTGGACATGACTGAATGACTAAGCACAGCACATAGAGTTTAATCAACTCAGCTCAGTCACTCATTCATGTCTGACTCTTTGCCATCCCATGAACTGAAGCACGCTGGGCCTCCCTGTCCATCACCAACTCCCAGAGTTTACTCAAACTCATGTCCATTGAGTCGGTGATGCCATCCAACCGTCTCACCCTCTGTCGTCCCCTTCTCCTCCCGCCTTCAGTCTACAGTTTGACAGATTTTGTTTATTTATACAATCATGTAATCACCACCAGTATGAATATATAGAACTTTTCCATTACCCTACAGTTTCTCATGCTCCCAGTTCCAGGAAATCACTGAT